ACACACACACACACACACACACACACACACACACACACACACACACACACAGAGAGAGAGAGAGAGAGAGAGAGAGAGAGAGAGAGAGAGAGATGTATGCATGCTCACACAAAATCTTAAAATTTACATTTTATTTTTGTTTCTGGATTTGTTTGGTTTTCAGTTTGGTATATTCTTTTCCCAGAAAAAGGAAGAACTATAATAAAAACAAGGAGACACTGAACTTACTGTCTTACGCAATAGACGACCGTGCCTTCCAGATGGTCACTTTCTACTTTGTGGATTTGTATCTCCATGTTAACTATGAGTTACTTACTCAGCTTGTCAAAGCAATTGTCACTCCATATAGTGACAACTCATTTGACATTTCTCCCCCCAAATATATAATGATGCCTCTAGGCATAGAATCTGAGAAGAGTAAGGGAAGAATCATTCAGCTGTCCAGACAGAGCTTGAAAGGCAAGCACTAATGTGCACTCAGCCACAGCCACAGCCCTCCACCATGAGTTAGTAGATTTGCAGCAAGACTTTCAGGTCTTATTCTTCCACTCCCTGGAGCTTCACTCATTGCTTCATCTTCAAAATTATACTTTGAATTGCTGAAGTCAGGAAAAATAAAAAAGAAAAATACAGGAATTTCAAGAGCCTTCTTTTAAGACTCAAAAACAAAGTCATTATTGAGACATTCAAAGACGTGGGTTCTGAAACAGCTATGTTTTAAAAGAACATCCCAAACATAAAATGTTCTGCTAGTGCAATAAAATTGTTTTAGTTGCTTTGTCTTGCTACATATAAGACAATGTATATTGTTGCTGTCTAATCTTGGGCCCTTCCCTTCAGGCCCAGTCCAGGTTTTGTCTTCCAGGGAAGGCAGCTGTTAGCATTGTGAGACTGTTATGCACTCTACTCCTTTTTGCCTTTTAGAGAATATTCAACCACTTAACTAAGCTCAGGTCAAAGGAAAGCTACAAAGAGGGTCAGCAGAGGAGACTTGCTGGCATTAGGTGATAGAGGATGAAGTTGCCTCCAGAAAGAAGGGAAGGGGAAGTAGATAAGATCTCCTGAGTAAATTGGGAGTGCAGTGGGGAGAGGAGGGGGGCATGAGGGAATGGGGTGGTCGAGTTGGGGGAGAGACAGACAGGGAGAGCAAGGAAAGAGATATCTTGATAGAGAGAGCCACTATGGGGTTATGGAGAAACCTGGTGCTAGGGAAATTCCCAGGTACCTACAAGGATGACCCCAGCTAAGACTCCAAGCATGACCCCAGCTAAGACTCTAAGCAATAGTGGAGAGGGTGCCTGAACTGGCCTTCCTCTGTAATCAGATTGATGACTTCCCTAATTGTCATCATAGAACCTTCATCCAGTGACTGATGGAAGCAGACACAAAGATCCACAGCTAAGTACTGAGTCAAGCTCCCAGAGTCTAATCAAAGAGAGGGAGAAGGGATCATAGGGTCAAGATCATCATGGGGAAACACACAGAGACAGTTGACCCGAGCTAGTGGGAGCTCACTGACTCTGGACTGACAGCTGGGGAACCTGCATGGGATTGAACTAGGCCCTCTGAATGTGGGTGACAGTTGTGTGGCTAGATCTGTTTGTAGGGACCAGGGCTTATCCCAGGTACAAGAACTGGTTTTTTGGAGCCCATTCCTGTGATGGGACACCTTGCTCAGCCCTGACACGGGGGATGGGGGGAGGCTTGGTCTTGTCTCAATTTGATATGCCAGACTTTGTTGACTCCCCATGGGAGACCTTACCCTCTCTGAAGAGTGGATTGGGGGTGAGGTGGGGGAAAGGAGGAGGGGAGGGAGGGAGAACTGTGGTTAGTATGTAAAATGAAAAAACTTTTAAATAAAAAAATGAAAAATTAAAAAAAATTAAGGAAGTCTCCACAAATCCTGAATCAAAGTGTGTTTTCCTAGTCCTGCCTTCCAAAATATTTAATCGGCTGTTTCCAGTCAACCCAGAAAAGAAAATGCCAAAGACTGACTTGCCTATTTCTTTAATTCCCTCACATAAATCTCAGGGTATCCTTGATGCACAAGGACATTTTTGGTGGTTAGGAAAACTTAAAAGGAGACAGCAAGGGAAGGGAAGCATGAGGGAAGGGGAGAATGGGGGGGCAGAAGGAGGGAGAAGTAAAGATGGAGGTCCAGGGAGTTGGGAGAGAGAGAGAGGAAATGGAAGAGAGTGAGGAAAGGAGAGAGGGAGGAAGAGGGAGGAGGAAAGAGGGGAAGAAGAAAGGACAGAAGGAGAGGAGGGACACAGTGAGGAAGAGATACAGGGCTGCCCCACTGCACCTTACTATCAGCGCCAAGAACCACTTCAAGCACCTTTTCAGAGCAGACTGCCTACCTGGGATGACAGGGAAAGGGTATCAGCATCTTCTTTGATATGTCTCTGGTATGTTCCTCACATTTTTGAAGCTCTCATTCAAATAAGCTAAGTTCCTCTCTACCTCTTTTAGCCCTGGTTTTTATTATACTTTTTCCTCTCCTTTTTCACCCTAAGTATTTGCTGCACTCAACCCACAAAGCCCCCAATCCATTCTCCACCCATTTCCTCCAGGAAGCCAGATGTGGCTTCTGCAGTTGGCCTTAATTTAACCCTGTCCCTTGACTGTTCTTTCTGGTTATTATCACCAAAGCACATTATACTTTTATTAATTTCTCTCCTGTTTTATTACTCTTCTAATTAGAACATAAGATCCAGGGTCAGAGGTGCTTGTCTGGATTGTCCATTGCTGTATTTCCAAAGTCTAAAACAGAATCAAACATGTTGTTGGCTAAACATATACTCTAAATGAACGAGTGCTTCCTAGGTGATTATGCCTCTTGGGAGCTCAGCGCCCTACAAGTCACCACAGACATACTCAGAGCTCAGTTCCAAGGCTTCCAATAAGATTTAGCAATGTGCTTGGGACAGAAAGTTGGGAAACAAAGACATGATAGTTCTAAGACCTGTTTCTGCTCTGAGAGTTCCTGCAATTGAGAACAGCATTTACATGTGTCCGAAAATGCTTTTCCCTCATCTGTACATCCTTACACAGAATTTTTACTTACTGCAAATACCTAAAGGAAAGTGTACATGGAAACAGAATGCTTAATGCTTAAAGAGGTCCAAAGGAAGGCTCACAAAACTGACTGTAATTACAGGCAGCAGAAAGACAGGAGCTAAGAGCTCTATCACCCACTGCAAAGAATAGTCATTTTCTGGCAGTTTGGATGGGAGTGGAATCATTTACTCGCTTTAAAAGACAACTATGGAAGGAGCTGGAAAGATGGCTTAACACCTAAAGTACTTGCCATGCAAGCACAAGGACCCAAGTTAGATCCTTGAGCCTATAAGAAAAAGCTGAGAGCTGTACCACATGCCTGTAATGCCAACACTGAGAGTGAGCACAGGGTGATTCCTGGTTCTTGCTGGCCAGCCAGTCTAGCAAATTCCAGAGTCAGTCAAGATTTAAGATGGAGACTGACGGAGGAGAATACCTGACCTTGACTTCCGGTTTCCACATACGCGTGCGCATGTACACACACACACACACACACACACACACACACACACACACACACACCACCTCAAGAGAGAAGATACAAAGGAACTAACCTTCCCCAATGTGGCTCATTGATGTGGGACTTAAAGTAGAAATTAATTTTCCCTAATCTTTGTCATGTATGGGTTATAATGAACTGTTCACAAAGTAATAAATGAAACTACTATAAGAATGGGTAGCAAGGTCCTTGAGCTGGACGGGTCGGCAGAGCTATGGCCTTGAGGCTGCTGAGACTTGTCCCAGCGTCGGCGTCTGCGTGCAGCCTCACGGCCAGAGCCCAGCGCAGGGAACAGATTCACACCAGTGTGCAGTGCCAGCTGAAGTATGGGCATTTGGCCTACGTTCTTGTTGATAAGGCATCCAAAAGAATGAATGACTACAGCCGAGAAATAAGGGTAGACAGGAACCTATGGGAAAAGCAAGCTCTGGGAAAAGCAAGCTCGCAAAAGAGATCGCAGAGAGCCTAGGCATGAAGCACTTTCCGGAAGCAGGGATACAGTACTCGAGCAGCACCACAGGTAACAGAAGGCCCCTGAACATGGAATTCAGTGGCAGCTGTAGCTTAGAGAAATTTTATGATGACCCGAAAAGCAACGACGGCAACAGCTACTGCCTGCAGTCCTGGCTGTACGCCAGCCGCCTCCTGGGGTACGCAGACGCCCTGGAGCACCTGTTGAGCACAGGACAAGGTGTGGTCTTGGAGCGTTCCATCTTCAGTGACTTTGCTTTCCTGGAGGCAATGTACAACCAGAGCTTCATCCGAAAGGAGTGTGTGGACCACCACAAGGAAGTGAAGCGGCTCGCTCTCCCCCAGCACCTGCCACCCCACGTAGTCATCTGTGTCGATGTGCCTGTGCCAGGCATACAGAGCCGGATCCAGAAGGCCACCCCACGTAGTCATCTGTGTCGATGTGCCTGTGCCAGGCACACAGAGCCGGATCCAGAAGAAAGGAGATGCACATGAAATGATGATCATCTCTGCCTATCTCCAGGACATTGAGAATGCCGACAAGCACATCTTCCTTCCAGAGATGAGTGAGCACTGTGAAGTTTTGGTGTACAGTACCTGGGAATCTGAAAGCTCAATCAAGGTGGTAGAGGACATTGAATACCTTAAGTACAACAAAGGGCCTTGGCTTAAACAGAGTGACATTTCCTTTCACTGCCTGTGCTTGCGGGTTCAGGATGAGATAGAAGTGCTGGATTTCACTACCGTTCCTATCGATCTCCTAGAAATCACGATTGGAGCTCACCAGGGTACCCGAATCCAAAACAGCTTCAGAGCACTGCCAGGCCGGAAGTACAAACCTGGGTACAAGGCCGAGTGGGTGACAAGTGGATCTGGTTGAAGTGAATGGTCCCTCTGCCTAGCTGTGTCACAGCGGTGAAGATGTGTGCTCTGCTCAACTCTGTGAATTCCAGAGCTTTGCAAGACAGCAGGAAAAAAGCAAGGATCAAGAAATTGCCCAAAGAAATGGTTTAACAAAAACAGTCTTCTCTGTTCCTAGTCAGTTGATTGAAAGATTCAATTTCCATAGAAAAGATTCTGGAACCTTTCAGTTTTATTTTGGAATCATCTGAGAAAAACAAAACAAACAAATCTGGTCTGTTGTGAAAGACCAGCTTCTACTAGACATCCCATGTCCCTGTGCTGTGTCCTTCTGTCCTCTCAACTTCAAAAAATAAAGCTGGCTTTGTAGCTCCTCAAAAAAAAAAAAAAAAAGAATGAGTAGCAATACTGGGAAACAGAAATAAATAGAAGGGTTTGGTTCATGGTAATCAGATGAAAATGTACTGGTAGAAAATAAGAAACTAAGTATTCTTTCTGGAAATTTGGAGGAAGTGGCAAATGATATCAGATAAACACACCAGCAGTGAGCAGGCTACAAAGAAATGACAGATGGGTACAGAGATGGCAAGATGCAGCTTTGGAGGTTTTTGGAGGGAGTCTGTCTAATATAGAGATGGGGATGGAAATGTTTATTCATAACATTCCAGTAACAACAAGAGTCATCAAACAAAATGCATTCCCATAATATGAAGGAACATGGAGCAGAGAAGAGAGCACTGGCCAGGGATAAGATCAGAATGCCTGCTATACAAGCTTGACATGAGTTCAATCCCTGGAATCTAAGGTGGAAGGAAAAAACTGACCCTTGAAAGTTTCTCTCTGACCTCCCCATACATGCAACATACACATACACACAATAATAATGATAATAATAATCAGTAAAATCTTAAAAAATAAGTTGTCATTTGCATTCACACCATTTCTCCAATCAATCTCTAGCAACCAGCATGTGTGTGTGTGTCATATTCAAGAAGAGAGTATGTGATGTGTCTGTGTTGATTGGACCATCCTTTGTGAGATCTCTCTTGAGTCCCACAACAGGGCATGGTGTAGTGCTCTTCAATGGAGATAACTCAGCAAACACTGTACCTCCTGAAGAGCAAGATTCATACTTGTGCTGGGAAATTGTCCTCAATTAGTATATGTCATAGAAGAGGTACAGACCTAACTGCCTTTCTCTATGGCCTCAGATCCTCTGTGTATATGTTTACTACCTTGTAGTGAAGAGAAGCTATGAGGCAAAAATCTTTCCATGATTTAGTTAATACAGCATAAGGGAAACTCAAATTTGATTAAATTTTAAAGCTTAAACTAAGAAATTATCCTATCTTTAGGTTTTCATTTCCTACTCAAAAAGCTTCTCTGGGCTCTACCCTCTTCCTTGATACTGATTCTGTTATAACATTGACTGTACTATGTTCAATGTGGAGACAGAAGGTGGCAGCCTATATGCTGTGGGATGGTCTGTATTTCAAATTGCTCTGATTGGTCAATAAATAAAACACCGATTGGCCAATGGCTAGGCAGGAAGTATAGGCAGGACTAACAGAGAGAAGAATTAAGGGAACAGGAAGGCGGAAGGAGACTGCCAGCTACCACCATGACAAGCAGCATGTGAAGACGCCAGGAAGCCATGAGCCACGTAGCAAGGTATAGATTTATGGAAATGGATTAATTTAAGCTATAAGAACAGTTAGCAAGAAGCCTGCCACGGCCATACAGTTTGTAAGCAATATAAGACTCTGTGTTTACTTGGCTGGGTCTGAGCAGCTGTGGGACTGGCAGGTGACAAAGATTTGTCCTGACTGTGGGCAAGGCAGGAAAACGCTAGCTACACCTATATATCTCTTTTCTCCCATTTTTACCACTAACTCAAGAAAAGTGCCATACAGGGTCTATTACTTCTTGCCTGAATTTTCCCAAAGGCTTCTCCCTCCAGCTTTGCCCATTGTCCTTTCCACTTCTCTAGACATTTCTCCAGGATCGTTTTCTTTGATTATTTTCCATACCCTATCCCGAAGTCTAAACTCTAACTACAACCAGAGTAGGAGAAGATGTTCTTTGTTCTGTGAAGGGTATAGAAAAAGCAAAATTTATAGAAATGGGGATGAAATCACATCTGTGGCTTAACACAGGATTGTTTAAGATCTGTGAATGTCTGTCATCCAATAAAATATCATCAAATGCAATAACTGCAGCAGTAGTGAAAAGCTGTTGATAAAGTGTCATTATTGCTAAACTGAGGACATTGCCTATTTCTTGCCAGTTCTATTACATTGCCAGTCCATTTTCTAGAAGATGCAGCTGGAGTTTTACAATGCACTGATATGGTGAATCAACAAAGCAGGGACTAGTAATAACTGATTTATGTATAGCATCTAATATATATATATATATATATCCATAAATATGTCCTATATAATACTTTACTGAATTCTGACCAACACCTTAGAGCTAATCATTAACACCTGAAGCTCAGAGAGAATGTCTTGTTCACTGATGGGTATTTAGGACCTTAAAGGGCTTAGATTTAAGATCACAGTGGTCTAATTCTATGTGGTACAGTCTTTGCATGAATAGTGGAATAATAAAACAGCCTATTGTCATCTAAGTGTCAGCAGGTAATACAATCTGGGATGAAGGAAAGTAGGGATGGTTTTAGTAAATTCTCCACTTTACATGCTGTTCAGCTCTCTATTTATAATCTAGTACAAGAGAAAAGGCATAAACTCAATGCATTTTGTATTCAGCTGTGTGATAATTGCAGCAAAAGAAGTATTGCTGTTTGTGCTACCTGCATGGTTTCCCTCTTGATTCCATCTTGAAGCATACAAACCTCCCTCAGGCTTGCAAGGCAGTTTTCCAACAAGGTCCAAATCAGGATTACATGAGAAAACTCTTCATTGCTTTGATATTGTAGAATTAGAACATTTGGCAGCAGCTGTAGAAGGGCACTGCCTGAACTAACAGAGTTTATAATAGTCAGAGCCCTGTTCAGCACAGGCCTAGTTATTGAGCATCTGGATTTTTTGGAACAGTCTGGGAAACCTTGTGGAAAGAGCAGGAACACCTGGGATGGATTTTGTTGCTTTCAGAAGGTCTGGAGCAATGAGTATCTACCACAATTTGCTGGGAACATAACTTTTTCCCCCAAGTGGGAGGTTTGATTTTTATTTAAAACTGGAAATTGTGGTTGATGCATTTCCCTATGATGGGTTATATTAACTATGTGCCAAATGTGCTGCTGCTGCTTCTCCTTCACTTTCCTTTTCTCCTTCTCTATCTCCTCCTCCTTCTTTTGTTCTCTTTTGTATATTGAAAATATATCTTTTTCATATAATATATCCTGGTTACAGTTTCCCCTCCCTCTACTCCTCCCTGTTCCTCCCCACCCAGCTTAATATTTAAATATAACAAATGGGCCTATCACCATGAAGTTGACAAATATCAGCTCTGCTTATATGTGGCTTAACTTGGGGATGTTTTTAAAGGCCCAGTAACAATGGGCAATGTTTATTTTTCTTCAGAATGTTATTTAGAAACTCAAAGGGAAATGTAGGCAGAGCTTGGGCCTTAGAATCAGAGTGTTCCTGTTTAAAATAATAACCTGTCCACTTACACTTGAGTCTTAGATAAAATTATTAAACCTCTTTGTATCTAAGTGTTTTGAATATACAAACAGAAAATTTCCACACATTTTGGGTTATTTGATACTAAAATTATGTATTATGTAATAAATAATATTCAAGGTTGTTATTAATTTTCTCTTACTATTTGCCAGTCTCTAAAAGTAGAATAGTTTTAAGAATCAGAATTGAGAAAAGAGAGTGGTCATCAGAACACACTAGAATGTACAGCATCAGGATGTTAAATAGCGATGCTCACATTAGGCAGAGATGAACCATGAGAAAAAATAATCTCTCAGCCTTTAGTAATTGTGTGTGTATGTGTGTGTGTGTGTGTGTGTGTGTGTGTGTGTGTGTGTGTGTGTTATATTTACAGGTGCATGTACACATATGTGCACCCACCGAGGCCAAAGGGCCATATTTGTTTTTTTCCTCTATTATTCTTTGAAATAGTCTCTCACTAAATTTGGGATACACTGATTTGCTAGGCTGGTTCAACAGTGAGCCCTTGGGATTCTTTTGTCCCTACTACTTCAGCATTAATAACAGATGTGCAGCACCACCTCTAGCTTTTTACATGAATACTGGGGATCTGAATTCAGATCCTCATAACGTTTACCCTTTAAACTGTCTCTCTAGCTCAACAGTACCTATCCTTATATAATTCTCAGAGGGATCAGAGAGAAACCTAATTTAGTCACTCATTTTAGAGTAGAAAAAAACTAGACAGAGATAAGGAGGGGTAAGGAGAGGTGATGGAGGGATGGTGGGAGTGAGGGAAGGAAGAATAGAAAATAGGACTCACAAGTTTGTATTCCAAATGTGTTCTTTCTTCTCTTTTTTTCACACAGCTTTCTTCCTGCCGCTCTTGGTTCTGGATGAGTCTTCAGTGCTCTGGGCCTCCTTCCACAGACACAGACCATAAAGGTTTCTCTTCTCTGTTTGTATGTTACTTATGCCCTAAGCAGTACCTGTGAATTTGGAGTGAGAGTGAGATCAAGCATAAGAAAAGAGAAAAAGGAAATAGAGTTTCCATGATGTGGCCCAACAGAACTTCTGCATCCACAGCCAGGCATAGTCTTATTGATTTAGAAGGCTGGGGGAAATCCCAGAGCAGGCAGCATTTCTCTATGGACAGGACAAACTTAATCTCAATCCAAGCTGATCCTCCTCAACCCTACATGCCCCAAACCTGCAACAGACTGTCATATTCCTTCCTAGATCAATGATAACTGTCTTCCTGGTTTATACTCTTCACTGTGCTACTAGGAAGATCATCAGATCAAAATCTGCCCTTAGGGTGTTGGAGCATTCTGAAACATTTATGGCCTAAGGGAGGACTTCAATCTCTGTTCAGGGAGTAGAAAAATAGGGTGTTATTTATAAAATAAT